CAGAGCGACGAAGCAACAAAGAGACGAAGCAACAAAGAGACGAAGCAGCGAAACCATCTCAGTGCCAACCATCAGCGGGAACCCACGCGCGAACGCAAAAGCAGAGGTCGTGCCTACGTGGGAAAAAAACCAACCCCGCTGCAGAAGAAACTGCTACAGAATCAGCACAGAGATAAACAGCGAGGAGGAAGACTAATCCCACTTGGCAGACGCACCAGTGAAGGTGGTACACCTCGTTCTACCCCACGTCGAACGGACGAATGGAATGAACCATCCCCCCCGGGAACAATGGAGGAATACAGTCCGCAGAGCCCCAGAAAGGAAAAGAAAATAAAAAAGGGCCAAAGGCCCATGGTCGTCAGTAACAGGAAGCCATTTAACATTTTCGAGAAGAAGAAAACGGCCAAGCCAATTGTCCGCGACCCCCGATTTTCCAACCTCTCAGGTAAGAACGAGTGAAGAGTGAAGGGTCAAGAAAAAAAGGAAAACGGGGAGGGATATAATCCACCAAGTCCAGAGTAGAAGGGTGTTCGCCTGTCCATGGGAACGCTGCCACGTCGTCACCACCGCGTTATGTCGATTGGCATTGATATGCATTTCTTTACCTCGCTTTTCATCGCTTCCCTCCCCCCGTCTTATAGGCACGCTCAACCCGACCTTCTTCAAAAAGGCATACAAATTTCTGTTCGACAAGAGACAGGAGGAAAAGGGAATCATCGAGCAAAAGCTCAAGGGAAAGAAACTGACACAGGAGGAGAGGCAAGAGCTTAAGAAGAAGCTAAGTACCTATAAGGACACTGAACGGATGCTTCAAAGGAAGGAAGAGGAGCGAAAACTAAAACAGGAGCTTGTCACACAGGAGAAAGAAAACATATTACGTAAAAATAAGCAGCCATTTTATTACAGCCAGAGAAGGATTAGAAAGATGGTGAATGAGCAGATGGCCAACAAGGGTAGCATCAAGAAGGCTGTGAAGAAGGAGAAGAAAGTTGTGCAGAGGGAGCGCAAGAGAAACATGATCCCGGAGAGGCGCCTTGTCGCCGACAACGTGTAATAAGGCGAAGGAAGATGGTAACATGCGTCCCCTACCATATTTGCGCCTTCTATTGTTTTATTTTATTTTTTTTTATTTTTTTTGTTCCCGCTCAACCCGCCCCTACGGCACAGGTAGATCCCGTGGGCATGGCTTCTCCGCAGAGAGGAGGGGTGTAGGTATTATTATATCCTCTCCCCTTCCTCGTAAAGGAAAGAACTGCCTTTCAAACGCACGTGACCACCCCCCTTTTTTTTTTTTTTTCCATCTTTAAAACTTACCTTTAAATTGGTTTCCCCCTCCCTGGTGTAGTGATGAGAATATTTTTTCGACCAACTTCCTTTCACGAGCAGTGGTCACTGTTCTGAGGCATTATTTTCCATCGACGTGGCGAAGGAGCAACCTGGTGACGAAACCTCTCTTCGTATAATGCTGCAAAGGAAGAAGCCCTTCAAGGGGCTCTCCTTCCACTTTATGGAGCGGCGACTCCTTTCGGGCCTGCTCGACAAAGAAAGGGCCTCTAGAATCACTGGCAGTGTCATCAAGTTTGATCGCCGCAAGGGATACGGCTTTATAAGTGAGCACACGTGGGCGGCCGCCTATTCCTCAGTACGCAAGGGGACGTGCTCCCATGGCCACCCCCACACACATACGTCTTGTGGGTCACATCACACGTAACACTCTCTATGTGCACACGGAAGCACTCACCAGCTCGCCTCAGCTCAGATGATCTCTCCTCACTTTACCGCTTCGGCTTTATCCACCCCCCTTTTGCGCAGAGCCCAATGATGGAGGACCGGACATTTTCGTTCATTACACGGACATATGCCAGGGTAGGTCTTCACACCGTGCGGTGGAGTGGCGAACGGTGAGCCTTGAGGAGCCGACGTGTAGGCAACCATACCTCCCGGCGCCATCTTCACACCAGACCTCCCTCTTACGTTTACACGCACTAATGCGACGACACCAATGCGAACACACCAATGCGAACACACCAATGCGAACACACCA